AAAAAGTCCAACCAAGAACTGTACTTGCAAATTAGCCTTTCTTGAAAACCTTTGTACAAGACAACCATTGCATTGTTTTATCATGTAACAGTATCCTAAGTTCTGACCTTGATTAAATAAACTTAATTAACTATTACATTCATTTGACTCATTTTTTTTTTTATTTTAGACAGGAAAAGATTAAAAGAAATCAGACTTGGCTTGAAGTTTGCAAATTTATAATTGACTTTTAAGAGGTTTGCTGGCCTCAACACTAGACTCACTGTTTTGAACTGTTGCTCCTCAAAACTATCCATGCTGCTCTCGTAAAGTTTGTCCAGGAGAGTGTGACAAGAACGGGGGACGACATGAAGCCGAGGACAAAATGATGCCATTTTTGTCAAGCAATGCAGAAATAAAAACTGTTTTCTTCACATCGGCCTTCGAGAGGGATCCAGCTCCACATTCAACTACCCTTTGCCACTGTCACTAGAAGTTTGCCTCATGATTTATTTATTTTTTAATCTCTGCACCACTTTCACATTTACATTTTATGATCTACAAATATCTGCAGTAAAGAGCTGGTCCATTGGTAATATCGCTCACTCTTTCTAGAAAACTTAACATGTTAAGCTCAGAAAAAATAATTCATGACTCATAAGAGCTGCAGGATGTTTTTGCTGGTCTTCCTCTGTGATATTTAAAAATACATTTCCCTCACTTTTTATCTCATCAGTTGCTGCAGGATGAAGATTGATACCAACTTGACCATTCCTCAGCTTCCTGAGGCCCCCTCCCAAGCGGGTCTTCAGTTTGCTGTTGCCACTGAGGAGGACTTTGATGAAATTATGGCAATGAGCAAGGACATCTATGGTGGTCTGGACTACCTTCCCACCAGATACACCAGCTGGCTCCAGGAATCCAACCGCACAGTCATTCTGGCACGCAAAGAGGGAAAAGTGGTGAGTTTGCTACTGGCTCACATCTTCATACAACTATATCTACTCATCAGTCGCATTGTTAAGAACACCTTGCTAGTACTGAGTTTGATCAGGTTTTACTTTCAGAATTGCCTTAATTCTTTGGTTTCAACTTGGGGTAGAAAAAATTTTTATACATATTTTTTGTAGCACATCCATGATGTAAAACTTGTGCTGGAACTTGAGTTCCAAAATATCTTAAAGGTGTTTTGTTGGTTATCTTGGGGATGTGGTGCACAATAAACCTGAAACAACCCATAGGAACTGTTCATCTGACTGTTTCACCTTTTAACTTATTTCATGTCGACTTTTTATGAAGCCACACATTGTGAGGTTGAAGGGACAATTCTGGAGTTGTAAAGTTATGTTAACTTCTGGATAAATTGTTGCCACTTCTTTCTGAGATATTTTTTTCTGTTTTTCATTTCCTTTTAACTCTTCTTCCAGTTTCTTTTTAATGTCTGTTTTGCTTTGACTTGTGAACAGTTTGACCCCAGTCACATGAAATAAGTATAGATTTTGCTATAATTGTTTTATTGTTTTTTTTTGTTGAGATTTAGTTTGTTGGGCCAACCTAGAGTGGCAAGAAAAATATCCTCACCTCGACACAACTATCAGCCCGCACTGCTGATGCAAGCCAATGTGTTCTCATTGCTTGTGCCAAAATCTACCATCAAAGTATAATAGAAATAATTGTTATAGCAACATATATGTCATGTGATATCTATAATGTGCTAGGCCCAAATGCAGAGAGACGTAGGCAGCAAGTGAATATGAAGATTAATAAAGAAAAGATGAAACAACATGCAGGGAACAAGGGCAGAACAAAAAGTAATCCATAACAAAAATGCCAACAAGGAGAAAAGGGAAGTAATGAAGTATAACGGGAGGAACCAGCAAGGAGTGTGAGCAGGAGAGGGATTTAAATACTGGGAGGGTAAATGCTGGAATAAAAGACCTGGGCAGACCGAGGAGAGAGAGAAAATGGCACAGGGGGCGAGCGAGGGCACACAAGAGACTAGGAAATTAACCTAAAGAATACCTGGATCTACAAAACATATTCAAACTAGAGTGACTGAGGAAGGACTAAACTGACACACAGCTGATCTAATCAAAGAAAAGGAACTAAGGAATACAGAAATGAACAAAACCCAAAACCAACTCAAACAACCCAACATCCTGACAGTTTATCTGTTCATTTGTCCTAGTGTGCTCCTCTGTTGTCTCTTTTTCATACCATTCTTAGAGATGGTTGTGTGTGAAAGTCCCAACAGATCAACACTTTTAAAATACTGACTTAAACCCCATCACTGAACTTCATGGAGTGGTCTTCACTACGTCTGGATGCACTGTAGCACCATATACTTGGTGGAGCTGCAATACTATTTACATTTACATACATTTATATTTGCTCAATTGTTTTTATTGCTTCATTTGTGTATGTGTGTGTATCACTATACACAAAGGATTAGAGTTTTAATGAAGACTGTGCCATTTTGGTCACTTTTTTCTTTTCTTGTCTTATTCTTTGGTAGATTGCTCTGGAATCAGCCTGTGTGATTGATGACGGGGAGACGATGCTTGTGGAAGGTCTCCGTGTCGCTCCTCAGGAAAGGGGGAAGGGCGTAGCGGGAGTTCTGCTGCGCTTCTGCTCCGAGTTGGTCAAATCCAAGTATCCAGATGTAAAAGTGACCCGCCTGACCCGTGACGATCAGCTTGGGCCCAAGGACTTTGAAAAGTATCGCATCATCACCAAGCAGGTACAATTGACAAAGCAAACCCTAGAAATACTTCTGTTCTGTTTCTCTCTCCGTAAACAGTTTCAAGAATTAAACAAAGGCATTTCCTGCTCTCCACAGGGTATTCTGCTGGTGCGTTTCAGAGCTGAAGAACTCAAACTGCGACTTCGCGAAATTATTCCGAGTGCCGACGCTCATTCTTCACAGCAGCCCGGTCCTCCACCTGTGCATCTCGATCAAACATCTATCCATCAGCTCTACCTTACCACTGACTTGATGCACAACGTGCTTCCTAATGCCACCATCATTCAAGACTGGCAGCCATTCAAGCTTCTACCGAGCAACATTGCGATCCTACTGAAGAAGGAAATCGACTGGTTGGTGGATGATGTGTCCAATCCGACTGTGGCCAGCCTCTGTACCTTCCCTTTCAAGGTGCCCATTGGAGATGATTGGTAACTTTTCTTATTTTTTCATAAAACAAGTTAATTAGATCCTTCACATTAATCATCACATTATTACTACTATTTTAGAGGACAGTTTTTGCAATTTTTCCATTGGCTCAATAAATAATTTCCAGGAATACATAATGGACATAATTAGGTGAAGAATAAAACATTGACTGCATATTTAAAATTGCATAGATCCCCCGTTCTCAGACCATTTACTGTTTGTCTTTGTATGTCTTACACATGACTTTTTGAAACAAGTTAAAGAAAACATGGAATGTTTTCACTATATTAATTTACTTTATATGTATTTGTAATGCAACAGATTTAGACCTCAAATATAATAAGGAAGGCAGGTTTAATGGAATTAAATTAACCTCCTGCATATCTACCAAAGAGACTGATTATAAACAAGCACCGTTTTGTATATTCTGTGGATATATATATATATATATATATATATATATATATATATATATATATATAT